CTCTCTAGCTCTCTCATTTCTCTCCAAGCTCCCTACAATCAGAATGCTAACTTAGGCATCGGAGAGTCCCCGCCGGGAAAATACCCCCGGGTCCTCTGATTCAGTTCTCGCAGGTTCCTCAGCTCCCGCCGCCTACAAAGAGGAGGAAAAGATGGAGTTCTCGCAGGTTCCTCAGCTCCCGCCGCCTACAAAGAGGAGGAAAAGATGGAGTTCTCGCAGGTCCCTCAGCTCCCGCCGCCTACAAAGGAGAGGAGATCACCTCATGCAGAGGGCAGTCGGGTTGTGCTACACCAAGGAGCTCCACCATCCCCTGAGTTACAGGCCGCCTAGGAGCAGGTCAAATGACGAGTCCACCCAGGTAGTTCACCACCAGGGAGCTCGTCACTAGGTAGCTCACCACCAGGGAGCTCATCACCAGGTAGCTCACCACCAGGGAGCTCATCACCAGGTAGTTCACCGCCAGGGAGCTCGTCACCAGGTAGCTCGTCACCAGGTAGCTCACCACCAGGGAGCTCGTCACCAGGTAGCTCACCACCAGGAAGCTCATCACCAGGTAGCTCACCACCAGGGAGCTCGTCACCAGGTAGCTCACCACCAGGAAGCTCGTCACCAGGTAGCTCACCACCAGGGAGCTCGTCACCAAGTAGCTCACCACCAGGGAGCTCCACCATCCTCTCCTAGGAGCAGGTCAAATGACGAGGCACTTAACCAAAAAAAAATTGATACATCACAAAAAATTGGTACGTGACCAGAAATGGTTACATCAGTTTCGGTTTGCCTCAACTTGAAGGCAACCACCGCCCATTTTCATGATGATTGGACCTATGCTAGTTGAGTTTCTCGCATTCCCCGTCGAGGGCTTTGTGTGCCTCTCGGACGAGCAGCTGAAACACTCCCGACTACAATACGGTAACCAATGGAGAGACACCAAACCACCATGCACCGACCTAGAAAGAAGATGGAGCTTTGGGCAAGGCCAGGGAAAAGACTACAGAAGGCAGAAGGCAGAAGGCAAAAGCCAAACGACCGCTCCTGATGAGCACTTTCCCACTTTGACACAATAATCTAATGAATGATAAGTTGCAGAAAGTTATTTAGCATTATTTCCCAGCAAATCCTTTCTCGGACCTGTACTTTCCAGCTCTTGAAATCTCGCAAACCCACATAACTCTCCCCGTTTTGATCTTCATTTCCCCATAAAACTAAAAGCAAAAAAAGAAGAAACTGCAGTTATAAGATTGCTAATGGTCTGTTAACAGAACAAGGTTCGGTTGCGAAATTCCCGAAAAGCCAGGCTGGCAACCCACAGTTGTAACAAATACGTGGCTAATTCGTTGGGCCCACTTGACCACTTGATCCAAAACGGTTGGAGCATGTATATATATGTGTGGCAAAACAATAAATTAGTACACAACATTTTATTCTCTCATTCGACACCTTTTTCATCTCATCGCATTCCCCTCCTCTGATACAAAATTCATCGCACCGTTCCTTCTTGTGATAACCTTTTTACATGGTATCACAACCATTTTGGGCTTATGTATTTTGTTCTTTCATCTATTTTTCCTGCAATGGAATTAAACCATGATTTACCCTATTTCCTGCATACTTTGGAAAATCCAGTAACTCTGTTGGTGTCTTGTCCTCTCAATAGAAACAACTATCCGACTTGGCAGCGTGCGATAAGAAATGCCTTGAGAGCTAAGAACAAGTACTGCTTTGTTGATGGCTAACTGTCAAAGCCTGATACAGGATCACCACAAGAATCACTTTAGATCAAATGCAATTCAATGGTGATTTCTTAGATTTTCAATTCACTAGTGCGTAAACTCCATGACAGTATTGTCTACACAGACACAACCAATGAAATATGTTAAGATCTTGAGGAGAGGTTCTCATAGAAGAATGTGCCAAGAACCTACCAACTCAAAAAGAACCTTGCAACATTACAGCAAGGAAATCTTTCGATAGCAGCCTACTTCACCAAATTGAAGGCTCTATGAGACGAACTCCAAATAGTGTTTCATGTACTTGACAGCCAAACAATTTGTAGCCATGCGAGAAGATGAGAAACTACATTAGTTTCTCATGGGACTTGGTGATGTCTTTAGCAATGTTATATCCAACATTCTTAGATTGGATCCCTTGCCAAACATCAATTGGTCATACGCTCTAGCTGTCCAAGAAGAGAAACATCTTACCGTCGTTAATACATTGATGAATGCAGATCTTGATGCCGGAGCAGCACTCTTTGTGAATTCTTCCAAGAACCTCTCGGGGTCTAATACCTAGGCCAAGTCTAAAGTGAAATGTGAGCACTACAAGAAATCTGGACATACGCTAGACCGTTGTTTTGAGCTTATCAGGTATCCACTGAACTAGAACAAGGGTAAAGCACAAGCGTACGGAAAAGAAACAAAAGCCGCATTTGCTTCAGTCAGTACACAAAATGTTGAAGCATCTCCCGTTCAAGGATTGAGCCTAGAACAATACAATTGACTTATGACACTCATATCAATGGATAACGTTACAGCCAGTGCCTCTAGTAAGGTTTTTAATAACTCTCCTCACCAATCTTCTTGGATCTTGGATAACTGAGCTTTAGATCATATGGTCTCTAATCTGAAATGCCTTATTGCTCATAAATTGTTGGCCCAACCCAAGCCAGTTTGCTTGCCCAATGGAGTGGTTTTGCAAGCTACACATCAAGGGTCGGTTATGCTGACCCCCGATATCACTCTTCATGAGGTTCTCCATATACTTGGTTTCCATTGCAATCTGATCTCCATTAACAAGTTAATTAATCAATTGCGATGCACTATCCTTTGTTTGCCAACTACTTATGTGATTTAGGACCTAATGTCGAAGAAAGTGATTGGCACGAGTGAAGCATTGAATAGAATCTATCACTTCACTGTTGAAGACGCTCCATGTTCCTCTACTTTGGTTGCTCACAATGTAGTCATTGCTGAGACGTGGCACAAATGACTAGGTTATGCCTCTCGGCACTCTCTTTCTTTAGTTCCTGGCATCTCCACTCTTCCTACAGGACTGCCGTGTGACACTTGTCATCGTGCAAATCAATCGCACATGTCATTTCCTATAAGCAGTTCTCGAGCATCGAGACTATTTCATTTAGTCCATATTGACATCTAGGGCAGTTACTCTACCCCTTCTCATAGTGGCATGCGATACTTTCTCACTATAGTAGATCACTTCTCTCGTAGCAGTTGGTTGTATTTGATGCACAGTAAAACTTAAGTTCTTTACTATTCTTCTCAGTTTTGCAATATGGTAAAAACATTGTTTCAATGTTCTGTACGAATCATGCGGATGGATAATGGATTAGAATTTTTTTTTCACATCCCGTGAAGAATTTTTTGTTACAACAAGAAATTGTTCATTGAGATTCTTGCATTGACACATCGCAGCAAAATGGTGTGGTCGAATGCAAGCACAAACACTTACTTGAGTTAGTCCAAGCACTTCATTTTCAGGCAAGGTTGCCTCTTTCTTTTTGGGGAGAATGCGTGACCACGACAGCATATTTGATCAATTATCTCCCAATTCAAGTACTTGGTGGGAAGACTCCCTTTGAATTGTTGTTCAATTGACTGCCATCATATGACCATATTAACATATTCGGTTGTTTGGTTTATGCTAAAAACCACAGTTGTACATGCGAAAAGTTCACTGTTCAAGTAATCAGAGGAGTATTTGTCGGATACCCTTTTGGGCAAAAGGCTTACAAAATCCTTGATCTGGATTCCCGACAGATCTTCACCTCACGTGATGTCGTCTTCTATGAAGATCATTTCCCATTCATGCTGAATGAGCCAACACATGCACAAATCAGGGTTTGATGATATCGTTACCCACTTCTGACAACATTAATTGCCTTCTACATAGTGAGCAAACCATTCAGCCCAGCCCAACTCAGAATGTCTCAGTCTAGTCTGATCTAGTTTGCCCTAACCAAGACAACTCCGACATAACTAATATGACTCGACCTCACCATGATTGACAATTCTCTAGACACTCAACTAGTTTTCTTCATCATGTGGACACTCCAACTGAGCCATACACATACAAACAAGCAGTTCTTGATCCATGATGGGAGTACAAAATTAAATATCGAGTTGATGGAATAGTTGAGCATTATAAGACAAGACTTGGCAAAGGGGTACACTTAGGTCAAGGGCTTGGACTTCCATGACATATACGCACTAGTGGCCAAACTAGTTACAGTTTTGTTAATTGTTGCTAGTCCAGAATGGACCCTCTACCAACTTAATGTTAATAATGCTTTCCTAAATGGAAATCTCCATAAAAAAGTCTATATAAAAATTCCACCAAGACTTTCTAATCCAAATGACAACTAAGTATGTAAACTAAACAAATTCCTAAGATGCCTCAAGCGTATAGGCTCACTCAATCATTAAATGACTATGGGTTCATAGCAGCAATCTTGATCAAATTAATGATCTAAAATAATATCTAAACAAGTGCTTGGGGATTAAGGTCCATTTTTTTACATCGAACAACAATTATGGTTTGATAAACAGAATCCCTTACTTCACGCCCTCAAGTCAGCCTTACGTATCCTCAAATATCTCTATGCTTTTCCAAACAATAACAAATAACTTTAATGTTCGAGCCTATTGATATCTCTATGCTTTTCCAAACAAAGACATTCTCTTATGACTTTAGTATGCGAGCCTATTGCGATACTGACTAAAATAATTGCCCCAATCTCCACTATCCACAACAAAGTATGTGATTTGTGTTAGTAATTCACCTAGACAAGTCAAGACACTCATCAGCCAAGGCAAAATATCGTGCAATGACATCCACCACCACAAAATTATCGACTCAAATGCCTCCTCGTAGATCTCAACATTCTTACCGCTCAACCTTTATTGCATTATTGCGTAAACATATTCAAGCCAAAAAAATCAAGACCTCTCACCTTCCAACAAGAAAAATAATCGGCTGAGCACTTAATCCAAAACGGTTGAAACTATATACATATATCAAAACAATAAATTAATACACATCATTTTATTCTCTCATTCGACACCTTTTTCATATCGCATTCCCGTGCAAAACTCATCGCACCATTCCCTTCTTGCGATAACTTTTTACATGGTCACTGATGTTTTTGTGCTAAGTGGGTCGAAGTCCCTCACAAGAGGGATGGATCAAAAGCACCTCGCAGTGTTCAAGAAAGAGACAAGAGAGATAGAGGAACCTGGCTAGATCTTTTGCCTGTCTCAAAAAGTTACAGAGTTCGTGTAAACTTTACAAAAACATGCACAGGTTTGCTGCTTGCTGCTACCTAGGCCTACCTATGAGAAGGAAACAAGAAACAAGGAACAGGGCGAAAAAGACGTATATGTATGTACATTCCCTTCTCCACGCTCTATCTTCCCTTCTCTTGGGATCTCCATTTCTGCATCTTCCGATCATTCTTCGGTATCCATAACGGCGTCTTTCTCCTCGTATTTGACAGCCACCAAGAACCTTATGCTTACCTGCACACTCAATACCAAGTTATTATCCTTCTTCTCTTTTCTGGCCTTCTGGGTATAAACATAAATGGCTGATTTAACTTCTCTGAATCAGTGTCTGTACCTGTTTTGGGTCGTAGACAGCGTACTCGTTGAATTCAAGGGGGCTGTCCTCTTGCCCTGTTGGGATTAACTTGCCACAGGGGACCCTGATGTCATCCTTCCATGTCGTATGCTCCGATTCATCTGGTTTCTTCCTTCCTAAAGCCTTCACACCTGCCTTCTTCTCTTCCAATGTCTTGGTGTCCTGCGTATGCAAAATACCAGATGCGATGACCATTAACTAATTTTAACAGGGCAATTTTACTCATCTGGGGCAAAGGAATTGCAACTTCCTTGTATACCTCGGGTGGGCTCTTTAACTCGGTCACTTTGTTGCCCAAGGAAGCAATGGCTAAGATCAGGAACCCTTCTGGTCTGTCAACAGCCGTGAATCCATACCTAGCAGCTTCTGCTGCGGCATCAGAACAAATAATTGCCTTGCCAAACTGAAGAAAAAAAAAATTGCAATTGTCATCAATAGGAAACGAGTTATACAGGAAAATTTTAGTAAACAAGTTTGTGTTAGTACAAACCATATAGCCTGGAACAGGAAGAGAACATATTGCAGGTAAGAACCCTTTATGCAAGTGCCTGAGTAAATTAGAACTTCTAGTACCTATCAAAGAAAAATAGAAAGCAACTAATGGTATTTAGTTACTTGACAATGTAGTCCCCCAGTTACTAAACCCAGAGATTAAAAATAAAAAACAATAGTAACATATATATCTTACCACACCACAAGAGAACCTTGTTTGGTAATTTCTTGATTTCTTCATAAGAAGGGAGAGCACTTGATTCAACAGAAAAAATGTTTTCAACTGTTACTCCATAACTCTGCAAGTATATAAACCATTAGACAGTCAGATTTCCAAGACATGGCCAGAATTGAATTCCCTTTGAATCTGAAGTCATATGAAAAGAGAGATATGCGCCTTACTATGTCGCCAAGTTTAACAGGTTCGTAAGTCTTCTCCAGGTAGTTCAAGATCATCTTGTAGTCATCAGAGTCCTTTTCCAGAGGATGAATTGAACAGCCCAATTTCTTGTACCGATCAGACAAGGGGTCATCGATGGTGGATCCAGTTAGGTCTCCTATGAGACGTGAGGCCACATTTATGTCCCGGACAGTCTCTAATGCAGCTGCTGCCTGCAATCTCCAATAGACTTATGAGCTTCTACTAACTATATATACCAGAAGTATCCAATTCTGTACGTGGGCAACAGGTTTTCAATTTTCACTTACATGGTCAGCAATATCTTGACAGTCCCTGAAGATAAAGGGCCTGGTAGAGTGCATGAGTGTAAACCATCTCTGGCTGAAATCTGACCAAACAGCATGAGCCTTCTGTCCCGTCTCATCTGTTGATTTCACAGTTTCTATGAACTGTAAGAGAGTTTCCTCACCTGAAAAATTAAATGATCCTCCCATTTCTTAGCTGCAAGTTTAATAGAATGATCGGAGAAAACAGTGAGTGCAACAGAATAAACGAGAGAATGTGGTCATGCAGCCTTCCCCTACATCTTTTTAAATGGAGATCAGAGAGCATTCCCATAGGTAGATCAGGAGAGTCCAATGCCATCTCCATCATGGCATATCTGTTAAAAATGCAAGATTAATTTCAGAGACCCCTTTGGATGTTAAAGGGAAAACAAAAATAATAAATTTTGAAAGCCAGAAACAAGACTTGATACTCTACTTGTAAATCTCCTGGCTGCATATAACTTTCATAAAATTTGCCACCAGTGGCTCAAGCTTGCAGTGAGTGACTGCAACTCCAAGTTGTCGAAGACCGAGGCCTCCATAACGCACATCAACCCCATCGTCCTGTTCAAAATCCAAGAGTATAGTTACACTTAAAAACCAAAAAAGCCTACAAAACATATGATTTCAGAGAACCCCTTCATATATTTCAGTTCAGACCCCCAAAATGTTTCACTGCAAGAGGCGCACAAAATCTGACAACATATATTAGAAAAAGTACAGAGGGCGGACCATATCAATTGGGTAGAACTTGAGAGGCTTTTTCTGGAACTTCTTCTCCCTCTCCCATGGCTCAAACTCATTACCAGTTAGTTCCTCAAAGAGCCGAGCAAACTCTTTCACAGCATTGTCAACATTGTCCCATTTCTTTAGTCTTTCCTCTGCTTTGGGATCATCACCAACCTTTCCTTTCTTGTAATAAAAATGCAGGCGATTTTCTGGTACCATGATCAGTTGCATGATACAGTAACTGTAGGAAGTAAATAAAGATAAAGGTAAGCGGAGGATAACTGAAATTCAAAATAAATAGAATATTAAAATCTATCATCAGCTCTGCATCAATCCCTATCAATCTTGTCGGCCAAATTGGATGCACAAAATCCTAGGCAAAACCATAGTTTGTCACCAAGAAATGATCCATTTTCACTAACCAATACGTGAAGAAAAAAAAAAAAAAGAATTTGGAGAGATATCTTACTGGTTCAGTCCCCTTCCTTGATCACAGATGGAGAATGCACAATTGAAAATGATACCATCCTTCTCAAAGATTTTACCACCTTGGTCCTGCAACAGACTGTCCTTGTATACACTTCTCTTTCCATAAATCTTAGGCTGCAATAAACAAACAGTTCATTGAGAGGTTTTCCAAGTAAACTAAGAATTAAGACAGCCTCAATTATCTAGAGAGGTTGCACTAAGGGCACATACTTCAGCTGACAGTGATTCAATCGATTCTTCACTAGGATCTTGCTTGTCCCATGGGATTCCTTTGCCATCCACAGAAAGGTCTGTCACAACGTCATAAACCTCTAGTGGCTGTGCTTCCTGTTTCTTAATGCTATCTGTTAACCAAGCTTCCCTGACCACAGGTATGCCCCTCTCCCTGCAGGGATATAAGCAGACAAACTAACTTAACAAACAGTTGAAGCAACTAGAAGACAACATGTATGGGTTAATTAATTAATCTATGCTTCACTAAAAAAATCCAAACTAACAAGCTCAGTTTATGAACTCACATGGCTTCAGCAAGCTTGGATGAACCACCACGGTCCCGCTCAGCTGGAGATACAACTAAACAAGTCACACCTGCAAAGACAAGACAAGGACAGTAGCAGCTTTTTACTAAGAACAACAACAAGAAAGGTGATCACAAGCAATAAGAACAAGAGCAACTGTTTGTTGATACAGATTATTACCAGGAACTGTATTAGCTACCTTCCCTCCATGCTTTTCTATCTCTGTCCTCCAGTAGTGCTACATATGTTATCAGATGTTCAGCCAAAGTTGACAGTGAACAGATATAAACAATATTATCATCACCATCAATTCCAAGAACAACGTAACAGAAATACCACCCACATGTGTTCGAGAAAGACGACCGCTGAGAGAGATCATCATTCCGAGGAATGGCTTGTCCACTGGGGTTAGTGTCCTGTGAGGGCGATGACTTGGGTTCTGGTGCTGCTTAATCAGCTGCACAGACAGACAAAGCTCCAAATATCAGTAATCTCAATTACCTCATGCAGTATTATGATAGGAAAAATGTGAAAACGAGATGTGCCTACGTCGGTCTTGATCCCCTCCGGCAATTTGATGGGTTCTTCTTTCCTTGTTGGGTCTCTTGTTTTATAGATGCAGGTCGACCATTCGCTGTAAGCGCCTCTGCATGAATAGTTCCCTCCGGTGCACTCCATGTGGCCATTACAAACAGGGCATCTGCCTAGCGGTCCATAGAATAACATATCTTGGCTGTAAAAAATCWTTCTCCAATTAGACGTTTTCTTTTAATCTGGAACGGAATTTTAACCAAACAAGTTGCGTGTTAAAACTATTCTTAGATAAGGAGTCGATTAAACTACCATCGATGGACAACAGCATCATCAGACCCCGAAGAGTCCTGGTCATTAGCTTCCAGTATTTCCTTCATTTGCTGGATGGAGAACTGCTCTTTGGTGGCCTTACAGAACTCATCGAACTCGGCAGGGACATCTGCAGTACTTTTTCCATTTGGGTGCCCGTTGACACAGTTCTCAGACTTTGTCTTCTTGTTCTTATGCTCCAATTCCTGCTCTTTGTGCTCTGCCTTAACAGTTTTATGCTTCCTCGTCCCTACCTTCTCATCTTCATCAGCACCCGCATAAGCTTGGGACCTTGTTTCCGGACCCTTCAGCAACACATTAACCATACGTTACTTTAGCCACCGGCCAACACCACATAAACTCCAATAGACTGTAAAATTAACAAAGAGCAACAAGAACCGAAGAAAAGAGAAGCATTCTATATTTCCCACGAAAACTTTGGAAATCTAGCATTCATTGTTCCAGTTCTGAGCTTTCCTTACAGAAAAAAAAAGAGTGAAACGAAGAATGAAAGAAACAGAGAGAACCCATGAAAGAAATTAAGGGGAGAAACAAAGAAAAGCTACTGAAAACATCGATCTAAATAAACATTCACCTTCATCATTCGGATCCCCTTCTCACAGATGAAAATACACAGAACCCTATCGTCCAAACGTCCTCTTTTCGTTAACAACTAGAACCAAATAAGGAAAGACAAATTGGTGCAAGCTTTAGTTGTATAAGTAATGGAGGAGTAGTTGAAGACAACATCAGTTCCTACGGCTTACAGGCGACACGTAAGTTCTGTTCCTGTAGGGATTTAACGATTCTGTCTTTCTACAAACACAACAAGTGGATTGCTTGAAGCTTTAAGCGACAAGCGTCCATCCACCTTCTCAGTTTGGATAATGGATAGCTCGGGCGGTTTATAGTTTATAACTTTTTAGTCGGGAAAATTGGGCGCCGCTGTCTCTGGTCTCAAGTTCTGTCCATCGAGCTGGACGTCCACATGGAGGTTGCATCTTTCAGCAAATCAACACTTGTAAGTTCTTGCTGTTTACACTTTGATGTTTAAATTATTATTATTATTTTTTTCTTTCAGGTATCATTTGATAATCACTGTTTCTTTATAGCACGAGTTGAGTTACACGTGTAGAAACCGAAGAGAGAGATGAGGAAGGTGCCGAGAAAGGAAAATTGGTGGAACAAAATTCTGGGATGGTCGTCGTTGTTTTGACGTGAGGCCAAGAAACAAATTTAGGCCTAGCTCTAATTGGGGCGGGACGGAGATGGGGATTAGTAGGCATATCATTTTGGATTGGGGACGAGCGGGGAGTGAAATCCCCATCTCACCCAACCACCATTATATGTATATATAATATATTAAATATATAAATAATCATGGCAATGCACTTGTTTATTTTTCACTAAAATAGGGGTGTTTTAGGTTAAAGAGAGAGCCATCAAACCGTATTCGAGTGAATAATGCCAATGATAATTTATTATTGGGGAGAATGACTGATTAGTCTATGTCAGAATTTTGTAGCCCCCGTATAGGGAGATAAATTTTGACCGTGAATTGATGCCAAATTTACAGAGAGATGCGATTACTAGTAAATTCAGAATTTTGCATTGGGTTCCAGAGTACTTAACCCTAGTTTATTGCATGAAAGATACGAGTGAAATCGATTGCTTTTTCTTGTTTTTTCTCCGATTCCTCGTAGCTTCTAGTACCATCCTTTCATCTCACATTGCAGTTTCCAGCACCATTCTCTCTATTCTTCCGTCAATCATCTTTCTCAACTCTGTTCTCCCGTCGATCTAAAACATATATTTTATATAATAGATCTTGCTGATTTAACAGGTGAACCATGAGGGAAAAACGGTTTTATCGGGTTCTGGTTGACCCAAATCCATAAGGACCCCCACCCATTGACATCATAGTGAGGATCATATCCATGGAATCTGTTGAAGATTAACAAATATATTCAAATGCTCACCTAAAATACAAAATATAGAAACACAATTTATACTGTAGAATTCTACATAATTCGGCATGATGCCTAATGATAGGGGTGAGTAAAAAACAACAAAACCAAAAAATCGAATGGATCGAAAACCAACTAAAACACAACCGAAAAATCAATTAATTGAACCGATTGGTTGAGTTTTGGTTCGATGTTTTTAGAAAAATCGAAAGTATTGATCTGGTTTCAATTAACCAATATAGAAAACTGATAACTAACCAAACTGACTGATATACATATATTATGTATATTATATATTATATATTTTATATTTTTATATATTATAAATAAATAAATATGCATTATATATAAATATATATTTATAATATATAATATATTATTTATTATTTAAAATATAATATTATATATTTATAATTTTTTATTATATATTATAAAATTAAAAAACCAAAAAACCGATTGGCTTCGATTTGATTTTGGTTATCGATTTTCCTAAAACCAATAATACCGGTCGATTAATGATGATGGACATCAACGAAATGGTACAGTGGATCACCCAATGATGGATCGGGGCTGTATATTCAGAGCTGCACCTTATTGTATGCATTGCATTTTTGGGTCTTGTCGGGCTCAGGTGGTTCTAGGCTCGGACCCATCAAAACATATTTGAACACAATTCCTAATTTATCGACCCAGGATGGGCCCAATTATGTTTGCGTTCAACCGGGATCTGGTTAATTGCTTTGGGCCTAATTCCTAATTTATCGACCCAGGATGGGCCCAATTATGTTCTAGCTCTAAATGATGGATTTATATGCCACAAACATCTTGCGTTTGTAGTCCAACGGTGAGGATAATTGCCTTCCAAGCAATAGATCCGGGTTCGACTCCCGGCAAACGCATTAATATTTTAACTTTCATGAATAAAATCAGTATTTCAAATACTGATTAAGAGGCCAAACCGTTTTTGTCTTTGGTTCTCAGTCACCAGGTTGAATGAGTGAAATATTTTATATTTAATTTATGTTTTTAATTCGGTTTTAAATTTTTATTCATAAAAAATATTAAAAATTGAAAATTTAGGCTAAAAAGGGATTGTTTGGAAAAAATAATGGGGCAAGGCGCCTATAGACGCATAGATCTCGAAAAGTTACTCAAAAAAAAAATCACCTTAATCAGACATCAAAGTGCAAAGTTATGACCTCTTGAATTTTGCATACACAGTTAATATACAACCCGCGACTTGATTACTGGGTTGAACAGGTCAATGGTCCAACCATCTGGATCATATGGTTTTTGACCTTCTCCGAGTTTTACTCAAATCCGATCCAAAATCTTGATCAAGTGATGGTTTGAGCGGTTCAACTGACTAGGGCAATAGTTGGTTGAAAATACTGAAATAAACACATATACAAAAAAAAAAACTAGCATTGAGGCGATGTTTGCCAATATTTTCTATTTTTTTCTTCTAAAACAAAATAAGGCTCCTTCTAGAAGCTCTCTATGGTGGAAAAAGCACATAGCTTGCTCCTAAGCCTTGTATAGATTTCCTTACTTTTCCCTTCCTTTCCCTACTTTTTCCTTTAAACCAAACATAGCCAAACTCAATGTGAAAAATTAAAAATGGAACCTCAGTTTCGGCTTTTAATGTTCCATGGGTTCCTTCCATACCTAGTGGTATTCCCCAAATTGCTTCAGTGGGCCAATCTCATTATAGAAAACTCACAGTAGCAGACTTAATGACTGGGCTAAATTGAAACGTAGAATTGCTTCATACACTAGTCGACTCCATTACTCTCAACAAGATAGTGCACATCACCCCAAACCAAAACCTTGTTGAAAATCTATATCTATACTACTTTAAAAAGCACAAATGGCCTCAAGAATATTTCTGGATTTTTTTGAGAACAAAATTTACTCCTCTATATTGAAATTTATTTATAAAAAATGAGGGCAAATAGGGTAATAGGTTATTGATGTTAGATGAGTTGAAAAGAGGTAATTTTAAGATATTCAGTGCATTCAATTCCCTCTCATTAAATCCAATATTTAAGTTATTAACTTGCATTCATGTTCATTGAATCATATGCTTAAGTCATTTTTGTTTCCTCTCATCATTAAGTTCTATTAATTAAATCCATACTTAATAAATTAAAAATTCTAATAACATAAAATCTTAATACTTTTAAAATCTACCTAGAAAAAAATAGTGTTTTCATCTAGGTGGTGGTAAGAAATTAAATCATTTTGGGTCAAATGGGTCAATCCATGTTGCCACAATTAAATAATAAAATGAAAAAATAGAAAATAAAAAATGGGAACATTTTTAACATACATATAAAACAATAATAAGTATGATAAATAATAAAAGTTTTTATTAACGAGGGAAATGGAATGTAAAATTTTAAACCAATTGAAAATAAAAATATTTTTCTATTCTCTCTCATTAAATCCTATATTTAAGATATATTTTTCACATCATTAAATCCATAATATTAATTTTAATAGTATAAAAATAAATATTTTGAAAAGTAATTTGAAAACAAAACCATTTTCTTCCCTCCTCGTGGTGGGCAAGTAATACGACCATTTGGGGTTAAATGGGGTAATGAATAATGCCATAATTAAATAATAAAAAATTAAAATAAATGAGTTTGAAATGTAAGAAGTATTTTTATTAATGATGAAAATGGTATGTCAAATTTAAAATCTACCTAGAAATGCAATGATGTCATAGTCAAATAATAAATTTTTTAAAAGTAGAAAATACAAAGAATCACAAAAGTAAAAAAGATAGAAAAAATTTGGACACATAACTAATGTTATATAATTATGAAAGATAAAATATTGGGTACATTTTCTAATATTATGCATTCATTATATTGAACAAAAATAAGTATTATACATAAGAAATAATTTTATCAATGATAGAAATGTAATACAAAATTTAATGTCAA